ATGAGCAAGGTGCACGGGCTGTCTGCTGCCTGAGCCTTTCGTGTGGCACCTGGTATTGGCACGGGTACCTATGTGATGTCATGCAAGCACCTCTGGCAGCCAAGACGCCCTTTGATACCGAACTGTATGCGCAATTCATAGCCCTTGGCGCAATCGTACGCGCCACTAAGCCAGCTGCGGTGTATTTCGACTGCACGTCGGCGGCGGCTGTAGCCCAGGGGCAAGCGCAAACATGTGCCCAATCATGTATCTCCAGGGCGGCCACAAACCTCTTCTTTCAGTCTGGGATGGCCGGCAACTGGCCTATCATGCGGCATGTGGCCTCGCACAAAGGAGACCCGCTCAATGAGCTTGTTGATGGCTTAGCAAAAAGAGCTGGCCGGGTTCCGCAGGCTCGGAAGAGCCCTGGTGATAGCAACATACCTAGCTATGTCATGGAGCATGCGTATGACTGGCTGTGGTTGTTCCGTGCGAGCTGGAATTCTCCGGCCTGGCCACAGGTTACGGCCGATGGCGACACGATACCTGGCCCTGTTGCCCCCGAGGACCCGCTGCCGAATTCGCCCGCTGCCTGGGCCCTGCCTGACCGGGATGCTGCGCCTACTGTCGTGCATGTCTCCTTGCGCGTTGCCACACACAATACTTTGTCGTGCAAAACAGCCCTGGAGCGACAATGCCTGGTCGAGCACATGCTCCACCACAAACTCCATGCACTTGGCATTCAAGAAGCTCGGCATGAGTTTCCAACTACTGCTGCCAGTGCAGGAATAGTTCGGTTTGGAGGCCCAGCTCCGGGAGGTCAATTGGGTTGTCAGGTATGGTTCAACACTAAAGACGCTCCATGGATGACTCAGGCTTTTCGATGCACCTACCGCCATCCCCGACTTGTTGAGGTACAGGCAAGGCTGGGCCAGCAGGCCGTTGTGGTCATCTCAGGCCATTGCCCCGCCGCGACCTCACCTGAGTCAGAGAGGCTCGAATGGTGGACGCTCCTGCGTGCGCGCCTCAACGCGGTCCCGGCATGCCATCAGCCAATCTTGTTGCTCGATGCTAACTCCCGCTACCGTCTGTCAGGTGGCGGTGAGATTCCGGCCAATTGCAACGCCCAGGAGTTTGATGCCTTCCTCAGTGCTTTCCAGCTCACCCGCACTCGAGCCTTCGAAGAGGATGGCTCCAAACGACTCTCCTGGCGACCGCCCGTCGGGTCTGCTGCTGATAGTGCATGCTTGGATTTTGTTGCGTACCCGCAAATGTGGCACGACGGCCAGACATGGCAGGGCCTGCTGCCCGTTCTGGATGTGCACGCTGGCATTGACCACGAGCCAGTAGCGGCCATCTTCTCGATGCATGTTACCAGGCCGCCGCGAGCAGCAGCTAAGTTGGACAGGGTGGCCATGAAAACGGAGCAGGGTCGTAGCATCATCAACCACATCTACGACACCATGCCTATTGTGCCATGGAGTGTACCAGCGGATCGGCACCTTGCCATCGTCAATAAACATCTTCAGGCTGGGCTTGCTGCTCACTTTGCTGGGGGTGCCGCTCCTCGGAGGCCATGCTTGTCCAACACCACATGGCAGTTGCTTGCAAGCCGCCGCCACCAGAGGCGTGTCTTTCGCAGACAAGCTACGCTGCATAAGCGATGGGTTTTGAGCCAGTGTTTTGCTGCCTGGGCCGGGGAACTTCACTCCAATGCCCGAGGGCAGCGCCGCAGAATTGCAGCGTTTGATCGCACTGCAGCAGCCCACATTGCTAGCATGCGAAGGCTAAGCCGCAGCCTCCGTGAATCTAGCAGCAGAGATGAGGCTGAATATGTGCGCCTAACATACCAGGAATGCCGAGATCAAGGGCCTGCAGTACTTGCACGGAAACTCCGCACAGTGCTAAAGAGTGGGAGGCAGGCAGCAGGGGCCGGCTTGCCCGTAGTCCTCCGCACAGACCATGGTGACATTACCGAGCCCAAAGCTGTTCTGCGTGCGTTTGGTGACCACTTCGCCATTGCTGAAGAGGCTACTGCGATTTCCCTTGCGGATCTACCAGAGCGCAACGGCCCCAGCCAGGAGGCCATGCTCCTTTCTGGTGCCCCCACTGTCGCTGACCTTGCCGCGTCGTTTGCCTCGCTGAAGCCTGGAAAAGCCTGCGGCATAAGTGGCATACCGCCAGAAATGTACCAGGCCTGCGCGGCCAAGGCTACTATGGCACACATACCGCTTCTTCTCAAGGCCCTCACGCGACTCGCTTTCCCGACATTATGGGGGGGTCTCCGAGCGCATCCCATTCCGAAGCGGGGAAAGCCAGGGGATTGCGTCCAAGGTTTTCGCTCAATAGCGCTGGTGGAGCCTGCGGGCAAAGCTGTGATGCGTGCTGCAAGACGCAACTTGCACGACTGCTTCGAAGCTACCACAATCAGCACAATCGGAGGGGCGCGCAAGCACTTCCCGGCGGACATCCCGTCGCTCAGCGTTCAGATGCATGCAGCCCGCCTCAAGCGACTTGGACTGCCAGGGTCTATCCTTTTTGTGGATGGCGTGTCGGCTTTCTATGCCGCGCACAGAGGACACCTGTTCACGCAGGATGCCGCCACCCTTCAAGGGTACTTCCAAAGCTTGTGCCTGGACGATGACGTGAGGGACCGCATCCTGACCGCGTTCCATGGAACTGGCGCACTGGATAGAGCAGGCGTTGCGGCCCCAACTGTTGCTCTTATGCGAGCAGCCCTGGCCCGCACTTGGTTTTCAGTTGATACGGATGATAACCTGGTCTACCTCACTGCCAAGGGAACCACGCCGGGATCGCCCATCGCTGATAATTCTCTTCCAGTATGTCCTTGGGCTATCCATCACCTGCCTATCGGCGCACCTCTGCGAAGAGGGTTTGGCTGCTGAAGTGTCCTGTGGCAACCAGCAACTGCAGGCCACCCCACAGTCATGGCTGGATGACGTCACTCTTCTGGTCACCTCCGATTCGCCTGAATCGGTGGCCCGTGACACGAGCCGGACTGCCGCATTGGTTTGTCAATACTTCGCCGTTGCAGGGATCGATGTTAACTTCAGTGCAGGCAAGACCGAAGCAGTCCTGTGCCTCAATGGAGCTGGCTCCCATGCTATCAAAGAGGCCATCATGGTTACCCAGGGAGCCAAACTTGCGGTCAAGTTGCCTGGAGGGCGCGTGGCCGACTTGCGGTGCGTCGATGCTTATGTGCACCTGGGATCTTGTCGCGATCACAAAGGTAGCACAAAGGCTGAGATTGAGCGAAGGGCGAGGCTGACTGCCGAGGCATATGCTCCCTTCCGCAGACGGCTCCTTGGCAACCGACACCTCTCCCTCGAGGAAAAATTGCGGCTTCTGGACTCCATGATCTTGGCCAAGTTTCTTCATAACGCTGGCACATGGGACCTGAGCACCAAGACGGATCGCCAGCTCTTCCACAGCAAATACCTCAGCTTCTTGCGGAGCAGTGTGAGACCCCTCCATGGCGTCCCGTGCCGCCGCCTGTCTGAAGCGCAAGTGCTCGCACTCACAGCTGCGTTGAGCCCGGACGAAGCGATGGTTGTCCGAAGGATTCGGCTCCTGTCTCAGGTGTGCGACAAGGCTGATGCGTTCCTGTTGCAACTGCTTGTTGATGAGGGCGGATGGTTATCGCAAACCCGCGAAGCTGTGCATGCTCTGGCCACCGCCCTGGATGAGCCTGAAATGGGCCGCCTCGCTTCTGCTGGCAGCGATGGCCTTGACTGGATACGGTCGTGGCCGCACAGCAGAGCTGCCACCTCGGCGTTATTTTGCGGCGATACCGTCGTCAGCGATTACATTCCAGAGCTGACCTAGTTGATGGGGCGATCAAGAAAGCCAGTGCCCATCAGCGTGCTGAGGACCTGGGCCTGGTCTTTGCGACCCTCACGCCAGTAGCGGCTCGGTCTGTTCGTGTACACAAGTGCCAGGAGTGTGGCATGGCTTTTGGACGGGCATCGGCCCTGGCCTCGCACAGGTCCAAGCGTCACCAAGTTCGTGCGGGCATGGCTTTCGCGTGGGGAACTGCCTGTGAAGTCTGTCGGAAGGAGTACTGGTCTCTCGATCGGTTGAAGGGCCACTTTCGGCGCTCCCCCGCATGTGCTAGGGCATATGAGCACTCCGACATACAAAGCACAGCCTGCACTGCACCTGTAGGACCGAAGTCCGCTCCGCCAGTGCCTGTTGCAGGACCAGTGCCATGGTGGGCGACTTTATGCCCACCGCCCCCTCCAGTGGCTGGCCAATTTCCCAGCAGCCCAGATCTGCCTGCTGCAGACAATTTGCAATGCTTGCAGCAGGTTCCCGAGTATATCCAACGATGGCTGTGTTTGGTTGAACAAGGGCAGCCCTGGTACAGGGATTTCCGCCACGAAGACTGGCTACGGCCAATTGTACAGCTGGCTACGCAGCTTGTCGAATGCGCTCTTCTTGACGATGAAGAGCATTATTGTACAGCAGGCGATTTGGCCGCTGTCATCAAGGGCCCTCGTATCCTACTTGGACCCCTTGCGACATTGCGCAGAGCGCATGTCGATGTGTGGCCCTTTCTTTAGGGTCGCAGACTTGAATTCATGAGTGCGTCATTGTGACTCGAGCCACGACGTCAAAAAAACCCTAAACCCTAAACCCTAAAACCTAAAACTAAACCCTAAAACCCTAAAGCTCAAACGCTCAATCCATGGAAACCCGTGGTTCCCATGCTCTTAAACCCAATCCCACGAATCCTAAAGCCCCCAATAATCCCAAAACCTTAACCCAAATCTCGAAAGCCCCAAACCCCTAAACCCTCAAACCCTAAACCCCTAAACCCTAAACCCTTAAACCCCAAAACCTAAACCCTCGACAGCCCTAAACCCTGAACCCTAACCCCAAAACCGAAGCCCTAAACCCTAAACCCTAAACCCTAAAACCTAACCTTCCACTGAGAACCCCAAGGCCGAAACCTTGAGCCTCCCAGACCTTGGATCCTTCTGCCTGATACGCAAAACCAGGCCATCCGCGCCGTGAAGACGATCTCCAAGTCCCAGATGAAGATCCTTGGGCCTTTTTCAGTATCTAATTATCTAGAAAGCCTAACTATTTTTGTATTCTTATTTAGCTAACTACGTACGATAGTTATGTAGTTATTCAAGTACTTATAGTTTGTCTAAGTAACTAACTATCTAATTATCCGACCAGTCTAACCCTCTAATCATCTCGTTTGCGATGTCTCTAAATGTCTCGATGTCTCACTATCGAATTCTTTGATTATCCTGTTTTCTAATTTAAACGCTTCGCGTCGTCCGCCTCGGACCGGCCGCAAACAAAGAGGGCCAACGAACTGCTGGTGCCTTGAAGGCGCCGTTGGCGGAGCGGACGAGGACCGGGAAGGGGAGGAGATTGAGTACAAACAAGCGGAGCAAAGCGGGGGTGGGGGGGGGACCAGGGGGGGCCAGGAAGGGATTTTCGGGTTCACACAGAGGGACCCCCCGCCCCCCCCGCCGGATGACTCTTTTCAGGGGTGGGGGTCACTGGGGAAGGGAATAAGAGGTGGGGAGTAGAGGAGGTCCGAATAGGAACCTCTGACCGCTTCGGCCGGCCGAGGCGAATTATCTAAAGACCTAAATGTCCAGTTATCTGATTTTACGGTCGGAATACACTGGCAATACTACTAGTTAGGGCTCCTGATCATCACTGGCCCAAGACCTTTGGCCATGGCCCTAAACCCTAAACCCTAAATCCTAAACCCTAAACCCTAAACCCTAAACCGGAAGAGCCAGTAATACTCTGGAGTATCTAGGTCTAAGGTCGGAATAAAGGGTTTAGGGTTTAGGGTTCCTGTGGGCACCCTGCTACTTACTACCCCGGAGCCCTAACTCAACTATTCAGGAGCCCTTATTGTCTAAGTTCCCGGGTTGACGCTCTTTATTCTGCATACATATTTGTATATGTGTATATGTATATGTATATATATATATATACATATACATACCTATATATATATATATAGTTAATTAAACAAAGACGTATATATATATATAGATACTTACAGACATCTGCATGTGTGTGTGTGTGTTGTACATGTCTATATTATATATATGTTCCTTCAGCACTGAGTATAGCATGCTTTGCTTGGGAATCTTCCAGTAAGGATTTCAAGTAGCCGATAAGAGGTAGCTTCATAATCTGGAGTTTCGAGGCGTCTAAATGAGAATGATTCCCCAGCGACTTCACACCTCGGCTAGTTCACCTTCTACCGTCCATAACCCTAAACCCCTAGACCTTAAAACCTAAAGCCCTAAACCCTAAACTCTAAAACCCTAAGCCCGTAGATATCGTCCATAGTTATAGCTGCCAAGGAATAAACCTTAAAACCTAAAGCCCTAAACCTTTTTTTTAAAAAAAGCTCTAAAACCCTAAGCCCTAAGCCCGTAGATATTGTCCATAGTATAACCCCTTAAACCCTAAACCCTAAACCCTAACCTTAGCTGCCAAGGAACCTCGAGCGCTTCAAGCAGGAGATCGTGGCGGCCTTGAGTGTGGGTTTGAATTTAGGATTTAGGGTTCAGGGTT